TCTTGGTAATAGTCAAATCAAACATTCCTCATAGCAAAGACCGTTTCATTTTGTTGTAGCCGTACGCCAACTCCTTTTTTGAGTCCTGAACGGAGGCAAGTGCAAATGTTCATTTTTTTCGTTATCCTCTGCGAAATATGCACAGCACAAATTCACTCATCCGTAAAACAAAATCGATTTAGAATGTGTAGATGCAATTTTCTAAGCGGCTCTCTATGGCGTTTTTGTGCTACAGCGAGCTCATTCTAATACAGCTGGTGAATAGCTCAAAGAGAACTTGTCTGCAAATTGTTGAAAAGAGATGGGTTATGGAGTTATAAGAAGTAATTTTATGTATTTGTGAGGAGCTTTCTAGAGGTCGTCCTTCTTCTTGAACGACATGGGAGTAGTAGATTATCAAACCGCTTTGAGAAAATAGCCTATTGCCCTTGTAACAATTTTAAAACGTGGTTGCTGTTTAGGACTAACTCGGAGTCTTAGTTTGGAAGTTTTCTGGTGCAATTTCCTTTTGGTTATTTGATGTTTAAACAGCAAAAGGAGCTGATGAAGCATTTTGTTCGAGATTAATGAGTTCTATTAACATACATCTTTTTTTCCATTCGTAAAGCTCTCAAAATGTGTTTATATGAAGTCATCCAGAAACAGGTATAAGGAGTCTTGCAAAAATTCATAATCATATTCTCATAAATGAAAATTAGAGCAAACTGGTTACTTGAGTCGATCCGTGTTTAGTGAACGGATTATTTTGAAAACATAGAATTTGAATCGTCTTTTTTACTTCTATCATCGCTAATCTCATCTCAGGTTTTGGATCTATCTTACAACTTCCTACAGTCGATTCCATTTGAACTTCCTTGCCCGTTCCCATCTCTAACCTCACTTGATCTGCGGCAGAACTTCCTAAAAACTCTTACAGTGAACGCCTCATGCTTATCAAACATTCGATCTCTGGACTTAAGCAGGTAACGGCTACTTCTTAACTCCTCTCAGTGCTCTTTGCTTAAGATTATTAAGTTTCCAGAAACCAGTTCTATTCTCTATCTCCTTCCTTCCGACAACTTGCTTCATCAGCACATCCCGACACATATGTTTTACGGAATCCGTTCCACTGTGACTGTAAATCCAATGATTATGTTACATGGATCAGATCTACAGACGTCGTAAGTGCTTGATTGATACTTTTGCACCTACAAATACCTGCATCGAAGAGAAGATTGTGAGATCAAACCAAAAAGTCCTAGTAATCTTTCAGATCCGAGACAAACATACTTTGGTATGTGATCGAGCCAGCCCACGGAACTACGTTGGATCTCGCCTAGTGGAAGTTCCTCTTCACAAACTGGACTGCTCCGTGAATCTTTTCGCAATGAGCTCACCTCACTACTCATTGTCGCTCACCGCCCTTGTCATCTTCCTCATTACTATCATTCTCTCAATCTAATCACTCTTTACTGGCAAATGTAAAATGTAACAATTAAGAGCACACTGAGCTCCTTCTCGCTACAATGGTTTGAAATTTAGTTTTTGTTGGCAAAGCAGTTTCAAGAATGTATTACTACTTGCCTAGGCGTGGGATAAAGCGACGCAGAACGAACTGATAATGAAAGCAAAATGGCGATTATACTATGAACATCTTTGCCAGCAAGTGCATTTTTAAGGAAAGAGAAACGGTAATTTGTAGAGAAATGTACTTGCAGGGAACCTCTCAGCTGCGAATCGCGATGTTGCAAATCTCCACCTTTTCCATGCAGCACGTGCTAAATTGTTTCGCTCAAATCCAATTTCTGTCATTTGCTTCTCTTTCCAATTTTCCATTTTTACTCATACCTCAAAGTAATTTGTACTTTCGTTCAGAATATATATGTCACTATACTCGTAAAACCCTTTGATAAACAGTACATGTTTTAGCATTCGACAAATAGACATGTAGTTGGAGATACGGTTTTCTAAGTTCAAAAGTGGAAGTATTCTTTTTAATGAAAAGAATTTTTATATATTGGTTGTACTTCCTGGAACAGCAGCTTTTTGTAATAATTTTGATTGTTAAAGTATCATTATCAATAAATTGCGATTGTATATGCGATTTTATATGCCTTGTATTTTATTTCTTCTCTCTATTTACTCCGCTCATTTGTCATACTATATATTTGTATAGTACTCACTGGTATCACCTACAAATATTCGCTGTTTTCGAAATCTGCTAATAATCTTCATTGATTCGAGGATGATATTGAGTCATTACTTT